CATCTCCCCTCAGAGCCAGGCAAGAACAAAACCAGCAAAGATTGGGGAAAACAGGTTAGCCGGGTTTTCGGCTTATCAGCGTGCCACATGCTTAATACTTGCATGCTTATTTCGGACGTGGGCTCCCCAGCTCCCCCCTGGCCTTGCTTTTAAGGGAAGCCTTCCTATGGAAGTCATCCTAAGTACTCTGTGGCCAAGGCACTTCAAGCCGGTTCGGCTCATCTGCCCAGCCACAGTTTACTGTGGGTGACAGCAAGCCGGGATTAACTTCGATATTCACAGCCTCTCCCAACCGGCACTTTCTTCCAGCTGGCAGATAAAACAACCTGATGGAGGTCACGTTTAATATTTTAAAGGGCGGGGGTGGGAGGGGAGGCTTAAAAAAAAAAAAAACCAGCAGCGCAGAATCAGACAAGAGCAGCTCGCACGCCGTGACTGGCTAGCACATCAATGCGCACGCTAAAATGCCATGCCTGCTGGGGAGACAAGCTGTGACCACATGAACTCTGCAGACCTCCAGGTATCCATTCACCAGATGGCTCTGACCACAGCATTATGGCTGCTTTTCCCCAAAGCCACATCTGCACTTCCTAAATGCTTTGATTTCCCAGAAGCGCACTAGCAAGTGTGGAAAACACAGACTCCCCCATTCAAAGGCAGGGGCAATTTTATTTTATTTTTTTAACAGGAAGGATTTCCCTGATTAACCATGTGAAATCCAGGGAAGTATTTAGGCACTTTCAGTGACCCCCAATTCAGAATGTGGAGGACTTTAGACTACCCTAATCCAGACATGTACCCTGACATGACCCAACAGAGGCGGGGGGGGGGGGGGGGGAACACTCCCTACCGTCATTTCTTCCTGCCCGAGGTTCCTTAGGACTGCATTTCGGCCCCACTCAACACACAGGACTCTGCTTGTGAGCAGCGAGGGTTGCCAGACCCAGGAATGGGGACACACTGAGGGACGGGTTTCTTGCCTTCCTCCTCGTTCCTCCTAAGTGGCAGTAGAGCTTAAAACATGAGATTGTAACACGGGAGGGCTAGGGAGATGGCTCAGCCCCAAGTGTGAGGACCTACCTGAGTTTGGATCCCCATGAAAAAAAGCCAGGTACAGAGGTTCATGCTTACCATACCAGTGATGGCGACACGGGAGGCAGAGACAGGAGGTTCCACTCTCTGACCAGCTAGTTCAGCCAATTGGTGGACTTTCAGGCCAGTGAGAGTCCCTGTCTCCAAGAAAAGGTAGATGATCCCTGAGGAACACCACCCAAAGCAGTCCCCTGACCTCCCATGCATGAGCCCAGAGGCACATCTATCATCATAAACCATCACCACACAAAAATACACAACAAAAAGACTGTAAAGTTGAAGCGCTAGACCACCCACAGTGTGTGTCCCATGGTGCCTAAGGTCAGCATGGACGCAGGGTTGTATGCTGAGAAAGGAAGGTGACCGAAAGGCTGGCCCTGGATGGTGAACAGCATGGGGGAGGGGCACTCACTCAGCACACACTACCTGGCACTGTGGGGCAGGCACTGTGGGGCACAGAGTCCAATACTGTTGCTCTGGAGGAGGTAATGGCCCAGAGCCAGGTAGCCATAAAGCAATGAACATGTCATAAAGAGGACAAAAGATATGTCCAAGCCCTGAACTCTGGCCCCTGCAGCCGTGACCTTGGAGATGAGCTCTCTCACGAATGGTCAGTCTAAGGATCTTCAGTGGAAGGTCCTCTTGGCTATCGGACCAGACTGGTGTCCTAAGACAAGGCAGGAAGTTGAGACATGCTGGATGGTGACTTGTCTCCCTGCTGTGACAAACACCTGACAAGAAGCAACTTAAGGAAGGAAAGGTTTATTTGACTCACAGCCCAAGGGCACAGTCCATCATGACGGGGAAGACATGGTGTCAGGAGCATGAGCAGCTGGTCACATGGCATCCACAGTCAGGAAGCAGAGAGAGGTGAATGCTGGTGCTCAGATCGTTTTCTCATTTTTATCCGGTCCGGGACCCCCAGTGAAAGGAATGGTGCTGCCCACATTCAAGGTGGATCTTCCTGTATCCAGAATCTTACTCACAGACACACCCAGAAGTTTGTTTCCATGGTAATTCTATGTTAGCAATCTCAATAACTACAGAGAAGGTCAGGTTACCACAGACCAGAGACTACAACATTTGTCAAAAACCCATGGAGGCCAAAGACCACCAGCAGCACCTAGCTGTCGAAAGCACCTGGACCAAATCCTTCCGGAACCTCTAAGAAGGACCCAGCTGCCAGCACCTTGATTCTGACCCCAGATAGGCAGAATAAACCCATTATTTTAAACTTCTCAGAAGGTCATTTGTGATCCTTGGGAACTGATGTGTGGCCAGTCCTACTGTTTGAATGAGCTCATGCCCAGGCGGGTCCTGAGACACAAAGGTGGATGCCCAGCCTCAGAACCTCCAGAGAATTTCAGCACGGTGATTTCAGTGGCACCTGGACCTGTGGGGTCAGACTCCAGAGGTTGCCAGGGTGTCTGCATTCCACACAAGCTCTCCGAAAACCCGAGTACATCCCATCCTGAACATACACTCTGCAACACTGGGGAGACCGAGAGCTCTCCGTGCAGGTGAGTGGAGAACAGAGTCCGTTAAGGAGAGAAGGAGTGTCTCCCGAGCTCTCTCCAAAGATCTGTTGTCATGATGGAGTTGGGGGTGGCAGGACATCAAAATCCATCTAGAACAAATGACCGGGACTCGGAGGGGGGGGGGGGGAAGAGGCATTGTAACAGTCAAAGCGACAACATGCACCAAAGGTTGATCTTCTGAAAAGTCACATCTTTTCCCATCAAGTAGCTACTGATCTCTAAGTCACATGACTACTAAGGGGGCGGAGTCCTTTTAATACCTCCCCTAGAGCCTGGGGTGAAGGAGGGAACACAGAAGCCATCAATCTCTGAGGCCCCCACCTTCCAAAGAGCCTGGTCAGGGGCAGCTTCTGGACCCACTAATCTGCCAAGGTCTTTCCAGGAGGGGTGGTCAGGGAAGACCATATTGGTGACGGCGAGCTCTGACTCAGGCATCCCTGACCCCTCGTGTTTCTGGTCCCTGTGGACATTGAAGGGCAGCGCAATCTCTGGTGCACTGAAGGAGACAGATTGCATCTCCAGCTGCCTGCAGCCGGCTGTAATCTTAGGACACACGGGCTCCAGCTGGGGTCCTGTTCGGGCTCTGGAGAGCAGTCACATCTCCCCTTTTGTGAGTCCCCAGCAATGACTCTTTCCCTCCCGCCTCTGCAGAGCTGTGTCAGTTGCACCCCCACCTGTGAGACGGCTGAAACAGCACTAACTTTGGCCTCATGGGACATTCTGGGGAGAAGTTCCCAGGCCTGCCATCTCTCAAAGGGAAGCCATTTCCCTCTGAAATGGTAAACTCTAAGAAGTTGTTGAATATTAATCTAGGATCTGTGGACGGGGCAGCTGTTTCTGCAGGTGAGAACTCACTTGGCACCGTATGTCAGTGGTTCCCAACCTTCCTAACGCTGCAACCTCTAAATACAGTTCTCAGTGTGGGGTGACCCCCAACCATAAAATTATTTTGTTGCTATTTCATAACTGTAACTTTGCTACTGCTGAGAACTGTATTATACATATCTGATATGCAGGATATCTGATATGTGACCCCCAAAAGGTTGAGAACCACTGCCCTAGATGAAGACGTATACATGTGATCAGGACAAGATATCTCTATCAGGTGAGGCACTAGCAACTTGCTTGCTGCTGGTACGAGGCTGAGGCAGGCGAGCGTAGGGAACGGCTTGTGAACCTGGGACTCCGCTTGGTTTGAGCTCCACACATATCCCTCTTCTGACAATGCTGATGCTCAGAGCGGGGGGGACGGTTGCCTGGCTGCACATCAGGATCCCCCTCCCCAGTGCAAGGCCGGTCCCGGCCACATTCCATGTGAGACACACATTCAACATGGTGAAGACGTGAAAGCAAGACACAGTGTCGCTCATCCCTGACCCCCAAAGCAGGTTGAGGGCACAGGCAGCGAGACGCAGATGCCATCTGCTTCCTCTCAAGGCCCCAAGGCCCCCATCCCAGAGCCTCTCCATGGGACAACTCCACCTTCGAGGGCTCACCACTGCTGGTCCAGTGGGACTGCTCCCCGCTGCAGGTCCTGTGGAAGCCCAGCGCCGGAGGACGCAGGCCAGCTGGCTCATCCACTGTGCAAGACTGGGCCCAGCCCATGGCAGGGCGGTGAGAGGAGGGAGCAGCCCCAGAGATGGCCCTCCTGGTTGGCACAAGGGGTACTAGAAAGGGGAGGGGGACACCAAGTAGAGGTGATGGGAGGGTGGGAGAGAGGACCTCACATTTCTCTCCCCTTAGTCACCACCCGTCAGCTACACATGAGTCTGTGTAACTTCCAATAAGCACATCGAAGCCAGCTCCCCCATGTATCTCCGACCTGCACCCCCCGCTTCATGACTCCTGCTTGGTACCCAGACAGAGTCTCTGTCTTGTTTCTGTAGATTTTCAAAAAGAATGGTTTTTAAAGCAGTTTGGGGCTCACGACAAACTTGAGAGAAGGATATAGAGACACCCCCAGTCCTCCCCCACATGCGCCATCTCCCCCAGGATCAGTATCACCTGCTGATGTCACTAGACCCTCACCATCTGCAGAAATGTATAATGACAGGCATACATTTTAAATCAATCTTGGGGAAAATCAAGAGATTTGAATCAGGTGGGAACCCTAGACCAATCCCCAGCAGAACTCAAACATCCCTGCCCCTGAGGCCCTAGACACTTTAGATGTCCCTGTAGCAGGCACTGTCAGGAGAGCGGAGAGTGGTACTCGTTGAGGTCTTCACAGCCCTCCCCACTATCAGGGGAGGACACCCAAAGCATGCGGGTGCCGGTGCCTCTGGTAAGTTTTGCAGAGAGCTGGCTCCGCAGCAGCCCCAGGAGGATCTCAGATGGCAATGGCTGTGGTTTCTCACCCAGCCTACTCACCAATGTCTGTTTCCTTGTGGTTCTTGATGTACTCTGCGAGTTCAAAGTTCCCCGCTATTATTGCCACCTGCAGAGTGAAAAATCACAGAATTCAATGTCAGCTGCACAGCCATGGGTTTCTATGTGCTTATGTCATCAAAAGCTGTCCTCATTCCGTGTCTATTGCTGTGACGGACACTTAGAGAAGAAAGAGTTTATTTGGCTTACAAGTCTGGGCTACAGTTGTAAGAAATGGGTCTCAAGAAAATGACCACACAAGCCAAAGTACTTCAGCTGGGCAAAAGCTGTACCAACTGAAGCAAGCCAGCAGCTGGGTCCCAGTAGATGTTCATTCCTAATGTAAAGGGATCCCGTGCCTCACCAAGTGGCCAGAGCTCAGCCTCACATTTGTACTTGCCTGACTGGCTAATAGGAGCGCAGTTTCTAGGGAGAAATAAGCCTTGAGCATACATTTTGATTTCAAGAAATGCTAACCATGGCAGAATTTGAATTTCTGCCAAGTGGCTTCTTGACACTTTTTTAAATGTAATTTTGTCTTATTTGATTATTTGATAGAAAAGACGATACATCTTGTTTATATTTTCTCCACAGCCTCTTACTGAGGGGAAACTGAGACAGGAATTTAGAGCATCAATCCACAATCAGGAGCAGGGGGGAGAATAAATGCATGGACACTTGCTTGCTTCTACTGAGCTCAACTTCTTGGCTCTTACACTATTCAGGACTCCCTGAGTAGGGAATGGTGCTGCCCACAGTAGTCTAGGACTTCCCACATCAGTTAACAATCAAGAGAATACCCACAGGTCAGTCTGATCTAGATTATCCCTCTCTTCCCAGGTGATTCTAGATTGTGTCAAGTTGACAAGTAGAGCTAACCATCACAAAGGCCCAAGCCAAGGGATGCTTGCCCACCAATACTCAGCAGCTTCATCGTGAAGTTTTTGTTCCACTGCAGCCTTTGCATGTGGGCAACTGTCTGTCTAGAGGCATGGGGACTATCTGCAGCACTGGTGGGGGTGGGGAGGGTGTTCACCAGGGGCTCAGTCTGTGAACTTTCCACTATGGACTGTGTCCTAGATACTCAGGAGGCTGGGATGCTACCTCACCCACACCCCGGAATTCTTTTGTGAGGGTTAATTATGATTGTCAACCTGACAAGGAGAATCTAGAACCACCATGGAGACAAGCCTCTGGGCATGTCCCAGGGAGTTTCTAGACTGGGTTAATTGAGGTGGGAAGACCCACCCTGAATGTGGCAGCAGCATCCCATAGGCTGGGATCCCTGGCTGAACAAGAGAAAGTGAACTGAGCACTAGCACCGTGTTTCCTGACTGCAGATGCAATGGGACCAGCTGCCTCACGCCCTCCCGGTCATGATGGGCTGCATCCTGAACCTGTGAGCCAAAACCCAGCCTCGCCTCCTCACAGTGCTTTTGTCGGGTAGACTGTAACAGCAACGATGAAAGCTACTAATGGCCCCATCTTTCTGATTAGACCCAAGTCCTCCAAGCTGAGGAGAAAGTGAGGCCTCTGTGGTGGTTTGAAAAAAAAAATGGCCCCCAAAGGGCGGAGCACTAGTAGGAGGTGTGACCTTGTTGGAGGAAGTGTGTCACTGTGGGGGCAGGCTTTGAGGTCTTTTTTTGCTCAAGGTTCCCTCAGTATGACAGACAGTCAACTTCCTGTTGCCTGCATGCTGCCATACTCTCCACCATGATAATGGAGTGAACCTCTGAAACTGTAAGTGATCCACCTCCATTAAATGTTTTCTTTATAAGAGTTGTCATGGTCATGGTGTCTCCTCACAGCAATAGAAACCTACTGAGACATCCTCTAAATGCTCTTAATGCTCCTGGAGCACAAGATGTTTCACCCCAGACATGCACACAGCCTGAGTGCTGGGGATGCAGCTCAGAGATGGAGAGCCTGCCTAGCACGTGCGATTCCCTGAGCCCCACCTCAAGCCCCTTCTAAAGCAGACGTGGTAGAACAGGCTATCATTCCAGTGCCCAGGAGGTGGAGGTGGGAGGATCTGAAGTTCAAGGTCATCCTTGGCTACTTAGTGAGTTTGAGGCCAGCCTGGGCTATGTATACACTGTGATAGAAACAGATAGAGAGAGTGAAGAAAGGAAGGGAAAGGAAAGAGAGTGAGCCTGACTAAAAATCATCCCAGCATAGCTCTGTAATCCTGCTGCCTGCCAGCTGACATTCAGGAGCAGCCAGGCAGGTGACACCACGTATCCAGTGGATGGCCCTGGATCCCCAAATAGGCCCAAGCCAGAGACCCCTTAGCCAATGCCTATACTGCTCTAGAGCCTCTGGGATGGAGCCCATATAAGTACACACACAACAGAACCATGAGATGCAGGTTCAGCACACCTACGCTGAGTCATACACACCTACCCTGAACTGACGTCAGGTAGCAACATGCGGGGGCCCTGTGGACACGGTTTCCCTGGGAAGAAGTAATCATCAAGGCTGCAGCATTGACCTCTTCTTACAGATTTTTCACTTGCCCACCCCATAATCGCATGACCAGCTCCATAGAAAGGTTTGTTTTTACACACCCCCTAAAGATGCCTGCTGACTTAAGAGGAGCCACCACAAGCTGAAAACATGGTGGGTCAGAAGGGAACTGAGTATGTTTAATCTGCTCAGCCATGTAGCACAGTGCAGTGCCAAGGCTCACCCTTGGGATCCTGTGGCTGCATGGGAGCTGAGCTCAAGCTGCTGCCCAGCTGTAAGCTCATGTCACAGACCCAAAAAGAGATCAAATCCCCAAATTCAAAGGACACTTGGTATTGAATGCCTGTTGCATTCACGCCATTTCAAAGCTGTAAAACTGGAAGCTGAGCCTGTAAAAGTCTCTCTCTCTCTCTCTCTCTCTCTCTCTCTCTCCCTCCCTCCCTCCCTCCCTCCCTCCCTCCTTCCCTCCCCCTTCCCTTCTTCCTTCTCTCCCCCATCTCTGTGTACAAATGAATCTCTCTGCAGTTGAAGACTCACTTGCATGCTAGATGTATATGCCTGGGTGTAAGAAATGGGTCTAGGAATATGCTGGATAGTTTTATGTCAACTTGACACAAGCTAAAGTCACCAAAGAGGAGGGATCCTCAATTAAGAAAATGTCTCCATAAGACTTGGCTGTAGGCACTTTTTAAATTAGTGATTGATGGGGAGGGCCCTGCCCATTGTAAGTAGTGCCACCCTGCTGTGGGACGGTCTACATGTCAAATTGCTCTGATTGGTCAATAAATAAAACACTGGTTGGCCAGTGGCCAGGCAGGAAGTAGGTGGGACAAGGAGAGAGGAGAATTGTGGGAAGCAGAAGGCTGAGTCAGAGAGACAATGCCAGCTGCCGCCATGACCAGCAGCATGTGAAGATGCCGGTAAGCCACCAGCCACGTGGCAAGGTATAGATTTATGGAAATGGATTAATTTAAGCTATAAGAACAGTTAGCAAGAAGCCTGCCACAGCCATACAGTTTGTATGCAATATAAGTCTCTGTGTTTACTTGGTTGGATCTGAGTGGCTGTGGGACTGGCGGGTGACAAAGATTTGTCCTGACTGTGGGCAAGGCAGAAAAACTCAAGCTACACCACCCCTAAGCTGGTGATCCTGGGTTCTATAAGAAAGAAGGCTGAGCAAGCCATGGAAAGCAAGCCAGTAAATAGCACCCCTCCATGGCCTCTGAATCAGCTCCTGCCTCCGGGTTCCTGCCGTGCTTGAGTTGCTGTCCTGACTTCCTTTGATGATGAACAGTGATATGGAAGTGTAAGCCAAATAAACCTTTTCCTCCCCAAGTTGCTTTGGTCATGGTGTTTCATCACGGCAACAGCAACTCTAAGACAGGTCTCAAGAAAATGACTACACAGTATTTCAGCAAGGCAGAAAGTTCTACTTCTGCAGAAGGCTATTCTTAAGCAAGGGCCCCCTGGGATTTTATTCCTAATGCAAATGGGTCTTCTGTCCCACACTGGGTGGTTAGAGCTCCACCTGTCATTCTTTACAGGACTGGCTGACTTAAAGCAGGACAGCTGATGAGCAGAATGCAATTTTGAGCAGAGACTGTAACCTTGGGCATGTATTTTGATTTCAAGAAGTGCTGACCCTGGGGAAATTTGAGTTTCTTCCAAGTGGTTTCTTTAGATTATTTTAAGTGGAGTTTTGTTTTGTCTGACCTTTTGATAGAACAGACAGAACAAGCCAGGTGTGGTCACGCACGCTTTTACCCCCAGCACTCAGGAAGGAGGCAGAGACAAGTGGATCTCTGTGAGTTCAAGGTCAGCCAGGACTATGCAGTGAGACCCTAACTCAGAAAAGACATTTCATTGACATTTTCCATGTGTGTGTGTGTGTGTGTGTGTGTGTGTGTGTGTGTGTGTGTGTGGTGTGTGCACCTGTGTGTGCACACACATGCACGTTTTTCTTGTTGGTTCTGCCCATCAAGAACTCCAGTGAACACAGATGTTAGGACAGAGAATGGGATGTAGATGGCTTTGAAACTGTTATGGACTGCAAAGGTTGTAAAATTGGAAGTATTGTAAAATTGCAGTATGCACTGGAAATATGAATTTTAAGGGAATTCATTTTCTCTTATCTGTAGAACCTAGACAATATACAAAATAAACACATATTCAATATGTATACTATGTATTACATATACTTTAAACATGTGTGTATATAGATATATGTTTAGATACAGGCTTAGCATGTCTATGTATAGATACACACTTGGCATGAAAGTGGGAGTGTTTGGGAAGAGGAGGGGAAAGTGACTCAGGGAACATGGTCGAGGAATGGGGTGAAGAAGACCAAAGACATAACATGTATATGTGTAAGAACACCACAGCGAAACCCATTACTTTGAACAGTGAATCCGAACTAATGAAGATGCCAACAGAGGCGTGCTCTCAGCTGGAGAGGAGGGGGCCCCCTAGGGGAGCTTGGGAAGCCCACCCCCACTCTAAAGTAGCTCACAGCTGACTGGAAATGAATTCTGGCACTCCGTGAAAAGTGGACCTGGCAGGTGACGGAACCGAGTAGCAGGCTGAGGAAGTTTCTGGGCATGG